TGTTGAACCAGTTGCAGATGGCCTTCAGGAGCAACCCTACAAAGAATAAATTGCTGTAGTCCAACCATGAGGTGACAAATGCATGAATGTCTGTGTACTATGCTTCCTGATCCAGGAAAGGACACAACTGGCACCCTAGATATAATTGTGCAAAGGATCTCCCTGGCTACAGTTTCCTCTTACTACTCAAACTGTGAACTAGTTTGTGAATCAACTTCATACAAAGGAAGCATGACCCAATCCAGAACTATAAAGTGGATTCAGAAGGCCTTTGGACCCATAGCCACTTCATCTTGCAATGAAGGATAGCAATACAGCATGTTAAAAAAAATCAAACACAAACTCATATTGTTCCCTTAATGTTAGAGCATAACTTCTCCAAATAGTCATCAACTGTTTTGTGATGAAATAAAGTGAAATTTGGCCTCAGATGATGCATGCAAGATCTTGTGACTGGTGCAACATAGAGAACATTTCACTCTGAACATTCCAGAACTAAGCTGTGCAAACAGACTACAAACCAGCCTGCAAGGAGGAGAAAGAGACTCTTAGCCAGGTTCTGTACTTACTGCTTCTGACTCTGTTTTTCCCTATTCTTTATCCATCGTGTATACCAATTATTGCTATTTTCTGAGTTTCTTTTTTTAAACTGAAGAGAGCTAGTTCTATTAGTAGTTCAGAGTTGCTCTTTTTGATTGAGGGTGTGTTTATTTAATGGTCAACATGTGAAGCTACATATAACTGCCAGACTTCAGACTCTGTTAAAACCAGATTGTGGTCACTCCATGTTATACTTTGTGCCTGAATAATTGTGTGTGTACTTAGAACAAGAGAGGCAACCCTGTAGCTCTCAACGTAATTTTGAAAGCCCTTTGCAAGCCATAAGTTTGGATTTCTGCCAAGAGCAATCTTGTTCTCCAGAAATCCACTGTGGGAGGAGGAACAGTTTTAGAAAACATAGAAAAAGGAGAAGCCATACTCACATTTTGGTCTTGTCCCTCCCCTAAACATATGGCCTTCAAGAGATTCCCTCTGAGATAATGTGGGTCACTGACATGGGGGGAAAAATCTTAGTCATTTTCTGTTTAAAAGGGAATATTTATATATTCGTATTTGGGATTTTCAGATCAGAGGCTAATGGGGAAGGGTGGAATTTCTTTTTTTAATTAGACATTTTAGAGAAAGAGTATAAACAGAAAAGACAACTAAAAAGAATAAAAGAGTAAAATACAAATAACGAGATCTAAAATGTAGAAATTACAGTTTTCCGGTATATCATTAATTATGAATTATAGGGTCTCTTATATTGCTTTAAAAACTAAGAATCATTAGTAAGGTTTAATAACGGGGTCAAAAAACTCAAAATGGCAGCTGTAATTGCAAAATTGAAGTCATGTCCCTTTTTTATGGTTATTAACAATGCAGGTGAAAAAGGGATGGGCTTCAATCAGGCAGTCATGGGACCATTCTGAATGTTTTAACACCCCCCCCCCCATGTCCTTAGGTAGTGTCAGAGTAAATCAAAATCCAGGTACATTTTATGCCTGAACACATACATGCACATCAGTTTTTGCTACATTTTGCAATTAACAACAGGAAAATCCCCTTTTTGTTCTTGGGCTACAAGCAATCCAGAATTTCTCCCAAGGGATGTGATGAGATTCAACCTGGAAAACAATCTCTCCACCCTTGTGGCTTCATTCCAGTTTCAGCAAGGAATGAAGGGTGGGGGGTTAATCTGCCATTTTTATGGCAGTGTAAGACTAGTTTACAAATTGTGTTAAACATTGATACAGAAACATGAGAATTTTTGTTTTTTTTGCAAAAGCCCTGTGGCATTTAGGAATGTGGCATATGTTCAAAAGTTACAGTATTCAAATCCACAAAAGAAAAACAATTCTTGAGTTTAGTGAGCCAGAAAGAAACAATTTATGATCTTTGCCTGGACAGAAGGAGCTCTGATTTCAACCTCCAAAATGTTTTCTTTTATTCATCTCTACCGTCTTACTAGAAACCTTTTAAAGTTAAATATTTCCATATTTATACCCCTCGAATATTGCAGGTCATCAGTACAACAAAAATGGGACTTAAAGCCAGTGTATTCAAGTGACAGCATTATTCCAGAGAAGTTTGACTCAGAATCTAAATCTTGGACATGGGATCCTAGGAACAAAATGTGTTGGAGAACAAAGGGACTTCTATGTAAGAGGGTGCAACTTACAGAAACTCAACTAAAAAGTGGTTAAGGAAACATCTAAGGGAAATAATATAATGACCATTTCTTCTGATCATACCTAGCTACTTCACTAAGTTGCAAGTTATTGTATATTCGGAGTCCTTTACTGACAAAAATATTTAGACAATTTCCCTGTGTATTTCAACAAATCAGTCATTTGAAAATGAACAAGTTCTCAGACCAGTTGCTGACCTTAATTTTAAGAAAAGAACATACTTCCCTCCAGAACAGGCATGATCCCCTGTGGAAGCATTCCAAAATCCTCATACTGTTCCATAGCCTAACCATTGTTTTTACATAAGCCATGATTAACTGGGTTCATGCATAACACTAAAGTATAACCTTAGTTTACAAACTACACTATCAGGATCTACATATTGCAGTAATAATTGTTTTGTTTTGTTTTGTTTTGGCTTGGTGTCTTGCATGCATGCAGCCTCTGTGGTAGACCAGAATATCTTCTGCAACATTATTGGGTGCAAGGACATGGGCTTAATCCCTTAAAACAATATTTGCCTTCTTGCATTCAGACAAGGTACCTGGTTGCAGCTAATGCATCTCTCATCGGAGAAGATGGAAACACTGAGCAAAACAAGCAGTTAAATGTTAAAAGCAGTTAAATGCAAGTGAATACTTGTTACCTATTACTTGACACTGAATGTTCCTTAATGTTTTCACCACAGCTTCAAGGTTTCATGTATTGTTTATGAGCCATTTTTAAAAATTATTTTACATATAGGAATGCTTTCCTTCAAAATAGCCTTCTAACTCAAGAACATGATCTATACTGGATTTCAGGCAAACCTAATTCAATCTGAGTTCTACCATTTCTGCCACTTATATAAAGATACCCAGCTGTGTTACTGAACTCAAATAGCTTGTATTTTCCCACCCTTTTTAGTCTTTTTTTAAACAAAATGATAAACTCTGATGAAATTACCTAGATTGCCTGTATTATATTAGGATTAAAAAAACAACTCTTGGTGACCACATTCACACACCCATGTAGTGTTGTTTTCTTGGCAATAGTAGAGCAATGGATTGCCACTGTCTTTAAAAAAAAAAAATCTCCTGGTGGAGGTTCAAGCAGGCATGGCTTCTGAACCCAGAAATAGTAAGCCAGGAGCTGCCCCCCAATAAGACCATACTAGGATAGTGACTACAAAATTACCTAAAACATTAAGTATATTATTATAGAACTGATAAAAGTCACTTAGTAGGGGTATGCAAAAATGAAATGTTTGACATTTAAACATGTTTCAAATTTAAAATGGTTGTTCCAACTGTTCCAGAAAAAGAAGGCCCATAACAAAGTATGTGAGACAGATGCAGAGTACTATGAAGTGTGAGGACTGGAGTGGGAAGGTCTGAAGCCAAGGGCCTGCGATCAGACTGTTCCAATAACTATGGGCAGATGTCAACTGCTTCTTCCACTCAGAAACAAGAGGCTCTCAGTCCATAAGGGCAAGTCAGAGACATCAGATTTGAACCCGCCTATATTTATGGCCTGAGTCTTATAGCTTGCAATAGCTGGTCTTCTGAGTTGAGGGCTTTTCTAGCAACTGCAATAAAAACAGAATGTCTTTGAATTCATGGATATAAGTTCTAATTCAAGCTACAGTCAAGATGAAGACTGACCAAGGGTAGGGAGTAGTTTGCCTTTATTTCAGACCATATATCAAATCCATAGTAATATGTGGGGAATTGTGACTTTTTTTTTTTTTGAGGCGAGGGAATGCTAAAGCAAAGCAGTTTGCAAATAACTGCATTATTTATGCAGTAATTTGTGAGGGTACCTTCATTTTTCCAAGATAATTTATCTCAGAAAATGAGCATGCTATTAAAAAGAACATGTATCTCCAAATCTTATAAGTAATGTTTAATTATATCTTTTTCACATTGCACTTCTAATTTCTCTCTTTTTAGGTACTATAGCAGCAAAGAAAAAGCCTTGCTTATTGATAATTGTTCTCAGATTTACACAATGAAAACAGCTCAGTCTGACAAAATTACAAAATCATTTATTAAGCCTTTCGCAAGTTTGACTTAAAACACAAGACAGCTTACTTTCCAAATAAAAGAGCAGAAACATAAAATTGGTAACCTTCTTTCATACTCTTAATCCTAGGATTATTTTATTTTACAATGTCAACTGGTAACAGCATCAGGGATTAATTGCAACATATGCAAATTCCATTTGCATCCAATGACTGGATTTGAGGGTTGATAGGAGGAGCTTGTTGCCAAATAAATGGAAGTGCTGAAGCCTATGTGCAGCATATAAAGATAACTGGGCAAATATAAATATTACATTCAATACTGAATACAGAAAGATTTTTGCACAGTGTAGGATAAGCATTAAAAAAGTTGAATTATATCAGGGTAACTTACAGTTCATATCTGGTTATGGAGAAGGGAAGATTTTACGTAATCAGTAGAAAAAAATAAACTATAATATATCCAGCCAACTCCAAATGATACTTTCATTGGCTTCTTCTTAAAGGAGCACATTTTGGAGGGCATCATTCAAACTCTACATTTTCAAGCATCAATGGTAATTATGGAAATAAAAAAGCACAGATGAGCAATCATCTTTAATGCCTGTTGCAAAACACAAGACAAAACCTTGATTCGACATTCTGTAAATATATGGTTTAGCATGAGAATGAGCCTCAGTGAGCCCAAGACGCTTTCCTCTCCTTCTAATCTTAGCCTCAAAAATTTTAAATTAATTTCTGTTTGCCATGTTATCTGAACTCTGTAATTTATATGGTTTGCCTGTAAGATTAACCACAATACAGTATAGGGTTCAGACAATACACTAAACTTTGGTTAACATAAAGAGGAAGTCTTCAATCTCCTCATAGCTGCATAAAGACAAGTCTCACTGAAGTTAATTATCATGTGAATGAAATTGCTGTGTATATTTTAGTACACTAGAAATGGTCATTCTATTAAAAAATACCTTTACTATAATATATATGAAACTTTTAAATATTGTGTTCTCAAATCCCGAGTTTCTTGAATTTTAAAATTCAAGGAGCAGGTAGAAATGTTGTGGGAGACCTGAGAGTTTCATAGATCATGTGTAGGAGTTTACACCCCTCTGGACTGCTACCAGAATCAATACAAGGGCCCTTTCCTATTAGCATTGTTTAAGCATTTCAATATTATCTGGAAATCTATCATTCTGAATTCTCATAATCTACCCAGTTCAGCTGCTGCTGCTCCACAGACTCAGCAAGTCAACTGAGCCCACTCTTCATCACCTTATGGCTATTCTCCTCATCTGATTTTTTTCCCCAATTCAGATATTATACCATTTATCCCACCAGAGTATAGAGTGGAAGACAAGTTCACAGATGCAGATCTGATGGTTTATTTAATAAATATAGTCAAACAGGCAGAAGAGAAAACAGTGCAGAACTGTTACTTATTAAGCACATTACTCAATATAATTTTTGCACAAACAATATTCAATATGTTACTGTATTTATAAACTCTCAGGTGCTACTGAATCCCCACACAATTCTGTCAAGAGATTTCTATGTAAAACAACTAAACATACTATTATATAAAAATAGAGATATGTCTTGGGATTTTACAAAACTTCGTAGCTAAGTTGACATTTCTCTAAAATTAACGCCATTATAGAAAGAATATTGTAAAAAGTAAATTCTTTACTGGAAACACCTTTTGCATTATTTGTCCAGGTCTTGGATTTATACATTTAAAATAAAGTCACCTGCAATTCATTTACATCTTGAGGTCAGTTGTGTACAAATGTTTTTTTTTTCTTCAAACAAATAGCTAGCCCACTCTCCCAATTTGTGCTTTTAGAACACAGTCTATTTTTTAAATCCACTTCCTAAAGTTTAAAAGGGTTAGTGAATTATCTAAGGATTTAAATATCAAATCAAAACATTACAGCAAATAACATGATCTGAGACAAAAGTTTTCAATTAACCATACCTGATAAACATTTTAAAATATCATATAAGTTTGAAAGTAGTTTAGATACCAAATCTGTTTGAATTTCTTAAAAGCCCCCATTTGTTTTATTCATTTTATGATCACCTCACAATAATCGTTGCACAATAGTGTTGAATTGTCTTCATGTAGCATCTTAATGAAAATGACTTTGTGCAAGGAGCTGCTGGACAGCCTTCAATTCTAGAGATGCAGTCACAGCCCTTACTACTGAAATCCTATTATACAACAGCAATTAATCCTAACAGCACCAACTGTTTCTTAGTTTATCACATGCCAGAGGTGCAAGGTTATTTTTTTCCTGCAACAGTGCAGTCTTTACAAGGCACTGCTTGGTGTATGACATTTTGCATTGCTTTTTAAAAATTACTAACATTTCAGAATGAATTTATATAGAATCAAAGTAAACTATCAGTTTCAAAGTTTGGTTAGACGTCCTTTTCAATCTGCTAACCAAACTACCAGAGTTTCATGCAGGTTTAATTTCCCCATTCTAATATTAAAAGAAGTCATAGTATGGGATATTTGTTAGTATAAACTGAAAAACTGTGCTATATTTTCTAATCTTCCTGTTCAGAGAAGAGGAAAGCGTGGCTGATCAATTCACTCTTAGAAAGAAAATCAAGTATACGTGGCTGGAAAACATTTGCAACAGTCTATCCCTGCAGAAAGAGTAATGACATATTTAGGAGATTCAAATATTGAGGCACATATGATTCAAAGGTTTTTCAGGCAAATTTAATGGCTGGGTTAGATTTCTCAGAAGGACTTGTAACTAGAGGTTTCTCATACAACAACTCAACCAACTGTAATATCAAAACATTATCTTCCATTACTTAGTCACTGCTGTCATCATCATCATCATCATCTGATATGTCATTTAAAGGAGGCTTTGGTGACTGACTGTAAGAGTCTGATCTTGTGGGCTGGCATGTTGACATCTCTCCCATGGAAAGGAATTCATAACAAAAGTCACAGATTCGCACAGGTTTGGAAGACTGACTGGGAATAAGAAACCTCTTTTCAGAGCAGGGTCCGCATACAACAAATCCACATTTCCGACAGTGGTGTCGACGATTCACAGGGGTAAATTTTGCTTTCTGGCAGCGCATGCATACAGTGGCTTCAGAGTCGGGCACCCAGACAGCTGCATGCTCATTACTGGGTGTCTTCCCACTTTTGGACAATAAATCAGAAACACATTTATTTATGTGGTTCATCCATTCAGATTTTTCTGTGGCAGTAGCAGCATATACTGCAAAAGATTTAGTTGGAGTCTTGATAAGCCATCCATTCCGCAAATCCCCCTCATCTTGGATAGACTCAATAGTGACGTTTTCCAGAGGAATGATATGTTGCTTATTATATTTCTTCTTCTGGATAACAATGTTACCATAAACAAGGATATCATTGAATAAAAAAAACTGCCTTGCTTTTGGTTTCTTTCTGCACAGCTTTGTTAATACTCCTTCACCAATGAGGACACGGCCAGGAATGGTCAGAGGCTGACCAGCAGCTCCAAAACAGTTTTCCACTATGCTTATTCGCCTAGTATTTGCTTCACTGTTTGCCAAACGATCCACCATTTTTCACCAGGTTCCTACAACACAGAAGAATAAATACTATTAAGACACTGCAGCTATTCAGCCAAAAGCTGTAAATGAAGCAAAACATATGTAGCTGTCATCCATCCCCTCCCCACCCCCTATTTCAATACATAAAGGATCATTTCAAAAAACAGAGGGAATTTCTAGAGCATCAACTAAAAACCCAAAAATAGTCTAAGAATGGGAGACAGATTTTCTATTCCAGGTTTTTCTATCCTGTGTAGTACAGAAGATGACCTTAAGGGAGTTATGCAGGAATCATTACCTAGGCAAAAGGGGGTGAAGCATTTTTTAAATCCAGAACAAGATAACATTTAGAAGCAGCTCAGGCAGATGACTCCCTAATACACTGAACAATAAGAAGGAGGAAGAGGTACAGCCTTGCAAGATTCTGTTATAGCCAATTTCAATACAAGTAGTTTTAGCCTTCCTGTGGAGTTGCTTTCTGGGTCTGGCCTACCTAGTGGGGCTGACAGTATATTATTGAATTTGGTAAGGGACATTGCTACTTGAGAGCTGTGATCTGAATTGTTCAATTAACCAAGAACATATACATGGCTGTGTACAAAACAAACCAGACAGACTGTGATCTAACAGAACCAAAACCCATACCATATTGGAAGCTCTGGATTTTAGGTGAGACAAATTCCAGAAAGCTCTTGTGAGGCAAGTAGGGCAAGGCTAGTGTGCCTCTCTCCTCTCCCTCCTCCCCTTTGCACGGCCTGTGTGCATGCCCCTCCCAAATTTTCTTGCTCCTTCCTTTCTCTTCCTTTAGCCATGCACCAATGTTCCCTACAATTTTTGACATGTTTGCAGGGAAAAAAATTGTGCAGCTTTTCCCAAACCAAGTACAAATTTGTGCACCACTATATGAACAAATTGTAAATATATGTAATAGCAACATGGTAGAATGTTTACACATTTCTTAGTTAAAGTATAGAAACTAGAAAGTATAATAGTATGTCACATACATGCTTAAAAGTTGTGCCCTCAGGTCATTTTTTACTCCTGGCAACTGTTCCCTGCAATTTTCTTGGCAGCATTTTTCAGAAGTGGTTTGCTGTTACCTTTTTCCTAGGGCTCAAAATAGGGACTGGCTCAAGTTCACCCAGCTTTGTACTTAAGGTAGGACTACAACTCACAATCTCTTGGTTTCTAGCCTGAAGCCTTAATCATTACCCCCAATGTACATGCTTAGATTAAAATATAAACTTGCTAGTCACTGATAACTGATAATTACAATAAATATTTTGTAAGCATTTAAAATTATTTCATTTTTGGGGGAAGTTGATACTGTAATAAAAATTTAAAAGACAAAAAAGAAAAGCATTATACAAAAAGCACTTAGATAGTCCCTTTCTTCTTTTCACCATTTCACTTTCACTTTCTTTTTTTCACCATTTTGCTTCTTCCCTGGATGTATTAAAGCTTAAACTTATTTAAACTTTATTATTCATTTACTGAAATTTTCAAAAAATTAGCAATGTTCATTGACCTCGTGCAGCCCAAAACTCAAAAGATAATAATTAAACCTTTTTGGGAGGGAGATGGGAGGCAGGCGAAGGGGGTTTTCAGAAGCCACTTCAGTACAGAGCAGGGCCGTGGCATGGCTCCTTTGTGTGCAGGAGGCCCTGAGGTCATGCCCAGCATGTCTCTGGCTGGGCCTGATCTGGAGGAGAGTGGTCACAAGGCCAGGAACGGACCACCTGCTTGCTGTCCCGGTCAAAAGGCACCTCCCCCAGGAGCTCCTGCTCAGTCCACAATGCAGTGGCATAGAATGATCCTCACTGTTACAGTTAACCTGAAAGTTTTATGGTGCCTAAATTTATCATTATTTTGAGAGAACTTAATTTTCTTTGTGCTTGACTTTTTACCTTAGAAGGAATGTGACCAAGCAGCACTGTTGTCCCCAAGTCCATGCTAGAATTCAAGCACAAGATAGCCAAGGGACCACTTGCACCCATCTTCCTGCACCTTCCTTTCTCTTAACCCCCTCTGTCACTGTTGACCAGTGCCTCACAGTATCTTCCTCTTTTCCTTGCTCCTTCTACCACAGAACACCTCTGTCCAGAGCAAGGATGTTCAAGGGCCATGCCTGGACCTAACATGTGCTGGACCAAGCAGAGCACCTAAAATTGTCTGTTCTGTACACAGAATATTTTGCACACCTATGAACATATCATTTTGGTTGGCCCTGTTTTATTTTGCTTTCCTATCAACCACACACAATCAGGGGAGAGGAGAATATTAAAAAAAAAAAAATTTAAGCCTGACAAGATTCAGCTACTACTCAAACAACACAATGCAATAAGAGATCATCATGAGACATCCTTCAAACAAAATTACAAGTATTTTAAATACAAATCATCTACTGGAGATACAAGAAAAACACCCACAAAATAAATTGCCAATATGATTTGTAAAACATTGGGATTCTGGAAGTAAAATACCTCTAAGTTGATGAGGCTAATTTCATAAGCAGCTATACAAATGGCAAACTATCCTGGTTTTATATCCATTTTTGTTTGTTTTGCTTTACTATCACAGCAATAACAGTTAATCTTTTACTTTGTCTATAATTTTAATATCCCATGTTATCTGAAGACTGGGCTGAAAAGTATAACTAAACACATTTCTAACAAAATGGGATTATACCAATACAATCATACAAATTCACCTTCACAAAAGGACTCTTGTATTAGGGTTACACCTTAATATACTAGAGGTAAACATGCTAAAACTCTGTAAAATATTTTTAAATATATTTTTAAATGTCTTTGATATATTTTGGGATGGAATGAGTCCAATATATAAACATTTAGCAATTTAGTGATACATAAGAAAGGGAAGCATATCAAGAGAAAGCTGAAGCCATCCTCCTTCAGCCTCAGGTTAAAGGTTGGAACTCTTCCCCTCCCTGCAAAAAAAGGAAGTCCAGGTAAAATTCAATAAGAAGGAACACCTGACACTTGGGTATTCCTTTTTGGGTAGAAATACATGGCTAACAACTCTTGCTAAATTTAACCTTTGTTTATATGTCTTGTAATTATTTCTCTGCATAATTTAAGGGTATGATAATTCCTGTCAATTTGAACCAAACTAAAAGATTCTGCTTGTAAAGGCAACAAGCATGTTTTGTCTTATTGGTAGCAGCTCAATGCCAACTTGCAGACCGTAAGAATTTTTATATTTACTTCTATATATTCTGCTGGGTTCTTTGTCTTGTTCCATTCATCTACATTTGCTGAATCAGTGGTTCAGAAGAGCACTGATACCTATATTATAATATTTAAAGCTATAAGGTTTTCTATGGTTTTATACTTTTTAATAAAATTTAATTTTGTTATTCCCTGTCAAATTGATCTGTGTCCTCAAAAGGAAAGAAGAGCTGATACTTCTAGTCACAAACCTCAATGCTATATGCCCAAGGGCTGGTGCTATAGCAATTATTTTATTTTACTTTACCCAATAATTGCCAGAGTCATACTTATTGTAGGCGCCCCATTTCTCTTTTATAGCAGAGCTAGGAGGACACCAGTGTGGTAGCAGCAAGAGGCAGGAGGTGGGGCCAGGGTATGAAAACCCAGAAAGTTTCTGGGAGAAGACTTGAGTTTTATTTTAATTTATTATAGTCACCCAAATTCAGCGGACTCCAAGACCTCCACCTTCCACCCTCCAGGTTCCACCATGCTGCTACAGCTCTAATTTGTGAACTCCTCAGAAAGATTCAGGTATTGACCAGTACAGAAATCTCTAGCATCTTTTTAATATACTTTTAATCTATTCTTTTATACAATATTTTTATACTCTACTTTTTGCTACATTCAGCAATGACCAGAACATGTTTTCTGACTTCCGCTATTGTAGAAATATAATACCCGCTATTTTATTGAATCAACCCTGATTGCTCATTGGAAGGATCGATAATGAAGCTCAAGCTCAGATACTTTGGTCACCTAATGCGAAGAGAGGACTCTTTGGAAAAGACCCTGATGCTGGG